ATCATCATCATCATTATCATCATCATCATCATCATCGTCATCAGCATCAGCATCATCATCATCATCATCATCACCATGATCAGTACCAGCATTACCATCATCATCACCACCATCATCATCATCGTTTACTCACTCACTCACTCGCTCACTCACTCACTCACTTACTTAACACCCACCCCCTCATGAGTACATGAATGGGTGGGCTTCGTCAAGCTTGAGCACGGAGGAAGTCTCAGGCGGGAGCCTCGTCTGTGAATGAATTGCTGGGAACCCTTGCGCGGGAACCACTCCCTATGGGGCCCGCAGCTCACGTGTTTCATCCGAGGCGAGCCATCGGAATCCTGTGAATGTCGTCATTTGTGGCTTCGTCAATCCGAGATAGTCGTGTGGGGTCCTACCGTCGGAAACATTGAATCCGCCGGCCCCCTTGTGGGGCCACCAGGCTGCGAGGCGCGGGATTCGCAGTTTCCTGTACCAGTTGTAGCTTGTAGTTTCCAGTGTTACAGTTCTGCTTATTGCTGGTTACTGTAACTAGTTACTAGTTGACTGATTGCTGGTTACTGTAACTAGTTGATTGACCGCGCGAGGGGGGGGGAGGCCCAAACAGGATTTTTTAGCACCCCCTGGGCGCGTTGTCTGAATTGCTGGGGGGGCTCGAAATCGACACCCCACGCAGATCCGCGGGGTCAGGGTCCAAAACACAAGGGATTTGCCACATTCTGAAATTCGGTGCCACCCCTCACGCAGATCCGCGGGGTCAGGGTCCAAAAACACATGGGATTTGCCACATTTCTGAAATTCGGTGCCACCCCTCACGCAGATCCGCGGGGTCAGGGTCCAAAAACACATGGGATTTGCCACATTTCTGAAATTCGGTGCCACCCCTCACGCAGATCCGCGGGGTCAGGGTCCAAAAACACAAGGGATTTGCCACATTTCTGAAATTCGGTGCCACCCCTCACGCAGATCCGCGGGGTCAGGGTCCAAAAACACATGGGATTTGCCACATTTCTGAAATTCGGTGCCACCCCTCACGCAGATCCGCGGGGTCAGGGTCCAAAAACACATGGGATTTGCCACATTTCTGAAATTCGGTGCCACCCCTCACGCAGATCCGCGGGGTCAGGGTCCAAAAACACATGGGATTTGCCACATTTCTGAAATTCGGTGCCACCCCTCACGCAGATCCGCGGGGTCAGGGTCCAAAAACACAGGGGATTTGCCACATTTCTGAAATTCGAACCCATCACGCACATCCATCGCAAGGCGTGGTAACCCAAACTGAGAGAACTCCCTCGGCCCTTTCATCGCAAGGTGTGGTAACCAAGCCCTTGAACCACACACGTCTTACCAATCGCCAGGTGTGGTAACCCCTCTTGTGATCAGTTGGTTTTGCTGATTGCGACTCGGCTTCGCATGAAGTTTCGATACTGCTTCACGACAGCGCCAAGGTCTCATGACTTAGCTCTTCCATGGCCCATTCTCCGAGAGAGGGGGCCGGCGGCAGGGGGCGAAGCCCTTACGGATAAAACGCTGCGGTCGCAACTCCCTCCTTCCCGTTTTTTTCCTCCTCTCCCCTCCTCCCACTTGGTTGCTGCCCTGTCTCCTGCCTGCCTTCCGCCCTGCCTCCTACCTGCCTGCTACCACGCCTCCTTGCCATCGCTGGGGGGCTGCGAACTGGGAAACTGTCGCCGGCTGCTGGGTGGTCCAACGGAGGGACATTTTTTCGCGAATCCAGACTCGACCTCCCATCCCTGGGGGGCTGCAAACTGCGAAGCGGTCGCCGATTTCGAAGGCTGCTGGGCGGCCCAGCGGACTGACGTCATACGCAAATGACGACTAGAACTCGCCACCCCTGCTGTGCTACGAACTGCGAAACTGTCGCCACTTCCGACGGCCGCCAGGGGGTCCAGCGAAATGGCGTCCTAGGCAGAGTCAGAATAGTCCTCGCCATCCCTGGGGGGATGCGAAATGCAAAACCGTCGCCACTTTCGACGGCTGTGGGAGGTTCCGAACTGCGAAACGGCCGTCAGTTTCGAGGGCTGCTGGGGGGTCCAGCGCAGTGGCGTCCCAGGCAGATTCAAAGCCGACCTCGCCGTGCTTGGGGGGCTGCGAACCCAGACGCTGTCGCCACTTTCAACGGCTGCCGGGGGGTCCAACTGGGTGACGTCATACGCGGGTTCATGCTAAACCTCATCATCACTGAACGGCTGGGAACTGCGAGACGGCCACCCCTTTCGAGGACTGCTGGGGGTCCAGCGGAATGACGTCATACGCGGGTTCATATTCACTCTCGCCATCATTGCTTGCGTGCGAGCTGCGAAACTGCCGCCATGCTCGAAGGCTGCTGAGGGGTCCAGCGGATTGATACGACCTGCAGATTCAAAATAGTCCTCGCCATCCCTGTTGGGCTGCGAAAGAGCAGCCTCTTTTTTTTCGGAGGCTGCTGAATTCCAGCGGAATGGCGCCACACGCGGATTCAGATTGTGTAAACCTCGCTCTCCCTGGGGGGGCTGCGAAGGGCGAAACGTCCGTCATTTTCAGCGACTTCAGTGGGTCCAGCAGCACGATGTCCTAGGCAGTTTGAGACTCGTCCTCGCCATCCCTCGGGGGGATGCGAACTGCAAAACTGGTGCCGAACTGGTGCCACCTTTGAGCGCTGCTGGGCGTAATAACGTTTTCGGCAGATTCAGACTAGTACTCGCCAACCTTACTGGGCTGCGAACTGCAAAGCGGCTGCGGATTTTCGCAAGGCTGCTGGGAGGTCCAGCGGAATGACGTCCTCGGCAGATCCAGGCTCGTCCTCGCCATCCCTACAGGGCTGCGATTTGCAAAACGGTCGCAACTTTCGCAAGCTGCTGGGGGGCCCAGCAGAATGGCGCCCCAGGCAGAGTCAGACTATTCCTCGCCGTCCTCGCTGCCATGGGATTTGCGAAATGGCCGCCACTTTCGCAAGCTGCTAGGATATCCACCATAATGACGTCCTACGCACATTCCGACTCGACCCCGCCATCTTTGGGGAGCCACGAGTTGCGAAACGGTCGCCACTTTCGAAAGCTGCTAGGGGGTCTGGCGGAATCATGTCACACGCGACTCCAGAGTAGACGTCGCCACCCCTAGGGGCCTGGGAACTGCAACGCTGTCACCGGCTTCGGGGTCTCATGGGGGGTCCGGTGACATGACGTCCTGTCGCCAGTTGCGAGGGCTGCTGGGGGGGTCTTGCGGAATGGCGTCCTGCCCAGATTCTGGCTAGTCCTCGCCATCCCTGAAAACCTGCGAGCTGCGAAAGTGTCGCCGCCTTCGGCAGCTGCAGGGAAGTCCCGCGGAATGACAACGCACGGGGATCCAGATTAGGCTTCGCATAACCTGGGTGGCTGCGAACTGCGACGCTGTCGCCACTTTCGAAGGCTGCCGGGGGCTGCAGCGGAATGACGTCTTACGCAGATTCAGATTCACCTCGATTTATTTTCCCGCGGGCCGCTCGAACACATGAGGGCGCGCCTGCCAGCCTTCAGCTCCCGCGCCGCAAGGTGCACGAAGGACATGGAGAACCTGGCGGGCGGCGAGGTCGGCTTCGCACGCTTCCTGCGCTGGCGATGAACAGCTGATCCTTTAGAGCGCCAGTGGCGACGCGGCGCGGGCCGCGCTGCTTGTCCAGAGCGCCGCTGGGAAATGGTCGCCGCCATGCTTCACCATCCTGCCTCTTTTCTTGTCGTCCCCTTCCTCCCTCCGCCGCTTCACTGCTGCCGTCGCGTTAACATTTCGTCCCCCCTTCCGTGCATTTCGTGCCTCTCGTTCCAAGCCCCATTTCCTCTTCGAGCCTGGGGCCTCAATCCTCGTCCTTCTGATACTGTCATGCGAGGCGTGCGACGCATGCGCTTCCCATATAGCTTGTGCAACCAATGACAAATCCGCCGACCCTGTCGGCGTGTGTAAGGGGCTTCTCCGTTCGACTCGTCGTCTCCGTCGTCTCCGTTCTCCCCCTCCCAGGGCTCTCCTTCTCAAGCGCGCTATCCAAAGCGAAATTAAACGACGTCGTAATGGAGTCGAAGGGAAGCCCCTTTCCTTTGATCCCTTCCCCGTAGAGGGGGGGGAGGGGGGGGGGGGGGGGCGGGGCAGATACGACGCCCGCCAGGGCGCACTTCCCTCGAGCGGGCACGCACGGGATGCACTTCCTCCTCCTCCTCCTGGTCCTCCTCCTCCTCCTTTTCCTCCTCCTCCTCCTCCTGCTCCTCTCCTCCTCCTCCCGCAGAGGCCTCCCGCAGAGGCGTCCCGGGAGCGGGCCCCGAGTCAAAATACCCTCCCCCCCCCCCAGGGCGTATGTTCCTCGAGCGGGCACGCCCGAGATGCACTTCTTCCTCTTCCGGGAGCACGTCCCAAGTCAGAATATCACACTCCCTGGGCGCACTTTCTTCGAACGGGCACACAAAGGATGCACTTCCTCCTCCTCCTCCTCCTCTTCTCCTCCTTCTCCTCCTCCAACTCCTCCTCCTCCTCCTCTTCCTCCTCTCTCCTCCTTCTCCTCCTCCTCCTCCTCTTCTCCTGCTCCTCCTTGCCTCCTCCTCCTTCTCATCCTCCTCCTCCTCCTCCTCCTCCTCCTCCTCCTCCTCCTCCTTCTCCTCCTCCTCCTCCTCCGCTTCCCCCCCCCGCTCCTAGCCCTTTCGGTCAGGGTCGGCGGCACCGGCCGTCAGGCCTCTCCAATCCTGTACTGTCAACATCCATGGTCGCTTAATGCAGATGTGTTGGGTACGTCGCAGGTTACTTCAATTCGATGGATCGCGGCTTTCTGATGGGCGAATTCTCCACCATCACCACCATATGTAGGACGGGGGAAAGGATGAGGAGGTCCTCCTCCTTCTACTCCCCTCCTCCTTCTCCTCTACTCCTCCTCCTCCTCCTCCTTCTCCTCTTCCTCCCTCTTCTACCGATGGTAGTGGTGGTGGAACATGGGCCCATCATCTTCCACACGTCGCGAGGATCAGTAAAAGGATCCCTGGCACCTGGCGCCGAGACCAGCTCGCGGTGGGCTTCCGCGCCTGGCGCTGGCGGCGCGCCCGGTCCACGCGGCAGCGCCCCGCTCGCCGCGCCCGGCGCTGGCAGCGCGCGCCGCCTCTGGCTGGCGAGCCTTCGGCGGCAACTCCTGGGAGCCTCCCGTGCCATGCTGCTTCACGAGCGGCGAACGTACAGTGGAGGCCAGTCCACAAGAAACCCCCCACAAGAAACCCAACCCTGAGACCACTGATTATTGGTGTGGGAGCGTCACGCCTTCCACAGCAAAACCATCGAAAACCCAAGAAACCCAGGGCACCCTGGAGGCGAGCAGGGTGTTTCTTGGTATGGGTCTCCACTGTATCCGTATCCGCGCCCTCGCGGTCTGGATTCCGCGACCGCCCCGCGCGGAGCATCCCCGAACACGAGACGCATTGCATCCGCGAGGCCGCGGATACGAGAATGATGTTCGGCCACGACTGCTGGTTCCCCAGACCCCTCGCGTCATGAAAGCATCACGGCGAGAGGTTTTAAATTAGCCGCTGGGGGCCCCGACCCAGGCCTCGGGACCGTCAACCACGACTCGGGATGAACAGCTAGTCCTCGGGAATGGGTCGAGACTTCTGAGGGTCGACGTTATGCAAATCGACACCCAATCGGCACTCACCGGCGCTTTCCGTTGACTACCAGACGCTAGCGCACGCTAGTGCACCCCAAGGACGGAGTTGAGAGGGCATACTAGGCTCCCATGAGTTGCTGCCGAACGAACCTGGTCGAGGTGCGGCAGGTGCGCGGCCGCGTCCTTGCTGGCGCCGCGAGCGCTCGAGGCAGGCCAAGGGCGCTGCGCGGCGCCCTGCGGCTGCAGCGGCACCGAGGTCACCGACGCGCGTGCAGACAGGGCGCCGCCCGCCCCGACGCTGCAGCGCCCAGCGGCAAGCCCGCCCACGCCCTGGGGGCGCTCGGGGCCTGAGTCGGGCTATACGCAAGAGTGGCCCTGCAGGCGGGAGTGACCTCTGGCGCGCGGCTCGGAGGACCCCCCGTGGTCCCGCACCAGAGGTCACTTCCGCCTTCGTCCGCGCCCTCGGCGACGGGCCGCTCTTCCGCTTCCGTCCGCGCCTGGTCCCCCCAGCGCGCCCCGCAGCGTGGTGCCGGCCTCCCGGCGCGCCGCGGGCCGCCGGGCGGCAGCTCCCGACATGGACGTCCACGGCCGCTGAGGCGGCGCCCCGCCGGCCAGTGCCCGCCTCCGGTCGGCCGACCCTTCGTCGCTGTCGTCCGAGTCCTCTGGCAGCGCGGTGGAGGCGATGGCCAGGTTGAGCGACGTGCCAGGCCGGCCCTTGCGAGGCGTGTTGCTTGCCCGGACGAAGTTGCGCGGGTCCACCTGGTCTGGGCTGGTGCACTGCGATGCCGCCAGGGGGGTCGGGGTGCAGAGCCCCCTGCTGGGCGTGGTGCTCGCTGGCGCCTGCGGCCTGCCGGCCACGACGGCCTCCGGCGAGGCCTGCTGCGGACGCTGCGCCGCCGCCTCCCGCTCTGGCGGCGCCGCCCTGCTCGAGCTGCGATCCAGCGGCTCGGCGGCTCGGGGTAGGTAGGCGCCCTGCATGGAAGTCAGGGCGTCGAGGAGGTCGTCGACGAGCACCGCGCCCTCCCCGTGCACGTCCAGCAGCGCGAAGAGGAGGCCCGCGTCCTCGGCGCCCACGCGGAGCAGCCGCGCCAGCTCCCTCGCGAACTCCTCCTGGCCCAGGGGCCACCGGGCATAGTCGAGGCCTTCGAGGGCAAACGGCGCCGCGGCCGTCAGGCCAGACGGGGCGCGACAGACGCGCTGCAGCAGCTCCTGGGGGGAACGGAACCTGTGTCCGTCGCAACGCGGCGGAGGCGATCCGCACGCGCGCGCTGCAGTTCGGGTGTTGCTAGGAGTACCCCTGGCCCAAGGTACCCCCAGGATTCTCGAGGTGGCCCAGACGGCCTCCAGGGGACCCCCCACGAGGCCCAGAGGGCCCCAGAGGCTCCAGAGTGGAGCGGAAAGCTAGAGGCACCTTGGGCCGGGGGCACCTCTGTCAACACCCGAGCAAGTGTCGGGGGGGGGTGGACGGCATACGGCCTGGCTGGACACAGCTGAAGAGAAGGCGGGGAGGGGCGGCCGCGGAAGACAAGCGGGGGGGGGAGGGCACTCGCCACGGAAAGAGCTCCGGGAGGAGCTCGCCTGCGCGGCATCATCTTGAGCTGAGGATGACTACCTACCAAACCACCCCAACCCAACCCGAAGACCCGAGTTTGACCCGAATTTCGGGTTGGGGGGGTACGGGTGCCATGTGTTTGTTCAGTGTTCCCCGACCCCACCCCCGCTGGAAATGGAAAACAAATTGAGGCCTTCGGGTTGAGTTGGGGTGGTTAGGTGGGTGGTGAGAAGAGGCCTGGCCAAAGGTGCAGGACTGCGCCACGACCGGGGCGGACAAAACTGAGGGAGCGTTCTGACTGGAATTTCGTGTTCAATCCAGCGGTGACGACGAGGGCCTCACAGGAGGCCCGAAAGGGCGGAAGCAAGGCGAGGGTACCAGTATCGGTAAACCTTTTCCTCCTCCGCGAGGTCCAGCAGGCGCGTGAGGGCATCGGCGTGTTGCATCGCAGCGAGGAACGTGCCACGAGCAACGCCTCGACAGCCGCCCTGCACCGCGCCGGGCACGGACGCCTGCAACAGCGCCCACAGCTCGCCCGCGTCGGCGGCGGGGATGCCGATGTGCTGCATGGCCAGCCTTGGCAACCGCCCGTGCATACACTAAAATATCTGGGCCCTGGGGATCCGTAGAAACGCCACAGGATAACGTACAGTGTACAATTGGCCGGCTGACTCCCCAGGCGACAGGTGCTGAACAAATATATCCACACTGCGTTTGGGCCGCCATTTGGCCGCCATAAATGATGGACAATACCTGACATGCAACGTCCAGATTTTCCAATGCGCTGTCACTGGAAGTCCCGACACAGTCGCCATTGTGCATCCCTCGTAACTTTTGGACAGTCCGGGGCCCGAAGATGGCTCCCAGGGGCCGAAAACGGCTCGAGCCCCTCGCGCTCCGCGATGCCAATCAACGCCAATGGACGCTAAATCGACGCCAATCGTCACTAATCGACATAAAATCGGCCCCATCTCATCGACTACCAGGCGCTAATCGACGCCAGCGTCCACCCCAAAAGCAGACCCCCCTGGACACCCCAGGACTCCCAAACGGCGCCCAAACACGTCCAGAACCTCCTCGATACCCACCAGGAGGAGGTGGCGACCCCGCCTGCTGGCGCCACCCATCTCGCACTGCACGAACCATTGATCTTATCCTAGCAATATTCCTCAAGTGTTCCCACGACTTGTTACCGAACCAACATCCAGCGAGGCAGGAGGACCTCCGCACAACAAAATCACCGTCAGAACCCTGGACCCGATTTTCCTGCGCCATTCCTCTGAGGTAGGACAATGGTGTGGCATAGATGGAGCGGAATCAATCGTTGGAATGGAAAGATGTTATCTGTGGTTCGTGACATCGCCAGATTCAGCATCGGCACCACATCCTTTTATGCCACTCCCCTTTCCTACATCCAGATTTTGAGGGCCCCATGGCCCGCAGCCCGGGAAAAACGGCCGCTGTGGAAAAGTTGCCGCGTCTGGATCTGGGAATGCTCATGGCCCCGACGCCTCCAGCGCGGCAGGCGGACCTCCTCGAGCCCCTCGCGCCCCGCGAGGGCGCCCCAGGCGCGCCGCGGCGGCCCGTGCCTGCGCTCCAGCCGACGGCGCAGCTGCGCCAGCGTGCGGCAGGGGGCCGCGTCCTCGAGGGCGGCGGCGAAGGCCGCTGCGGAGATCCTTCCAGGGGCCCAGGGGCGCACCGGCAAGTGCACACAAGTAGCAGGATGTCATGTCTTTCTCCATGTCCCACGTTTTCCGATGCATCCCTACATGTCCCCTGTGTCCAGATTGCCACCATCTGTTCACATGCCCCTCCACTTCCCCCGCAATTCTCCCATCCCTCAAAAACTGCTTGCACTCAGGGGTATGTATGTATGTATGTATGTATGTATGTATGTATGTATGTGTGTGTATGTATGTATGTATGCATGCATGCATGCATGCATGTATGTATGTATGTATGTATGTATGGATGTATGTATGTATGTATTTGTGTACACATATACATAATACATGTGTATGTATATAGCTGTATACGTACATACATCCATGCATACATACATACATACATCCATCCGTCCATACATACATATATACATACATACATACATACATCTATACATCTATACATACATACATACATGTATGCATGCATACATACATACATACATATTTCCATACATTAATCGTGCAACGTATGTGGTGCAATCGACGGGCGGCGACGGGGCGGCGACGGCGGCAACATAGCCGCCGGACCGACCGTCAGGGCCAATTCCTCAGTCCACAAGTAAGAACGCATGCATATACATACATGCATACATACATACATACATAGATACATATATATATATGTGGACATACATACATGCATACACACATACAAACAAACATACCGACGTACATACATATGCGTGTGTATGTATGTGCCTGTGTGTATGTACGTGTATATATATACATACGTCGCACCCCAAACATTCCTTTTTTCTAAAAAGGAATCAGGATTCACCGCGCTCCCGAGGGCAATTCCCCCCTGGGGATGTGCAGATTACATGCGATTCTGCCCCACCGCTCATTCGAATTATGAAATGGCATGACCAAGTCAAACCGGTATCGACCCCGTTTCCCTCCATCCCTTGCGAAAAAAAAAACCATGCGCGCAAACTTTTTCATCTTCGTATCGTTGTCCAAGAATCCCTTGCACAAGAAATGCGTTTCTGCGCCATCGTCCGCCCTAAAATGAGCCTATACCATCCCAGGCAGGCCCGTTCCTGCATCTCCCTTTCATCCCTTGAAACGTGCACTTTGCGCGCGCACTTGTTCATCACAAATCAGCAGCGTTTGAAAATCCCTTGCGAAATAACCGATCGACGAGCACGCGCGCGCGTCGTCGCGCGCGCATGCCACAATCATTCAAAAACCATTGGTTTCGCAACGATTTCAAGATCGATCCGGCGCCCCGAACACATGCAGAAAAATACCTGGTTTCGCAGCGTGAATGCTCAGAAAAAAGCGCGCCCGCGCTCTCACGAAATCAGGGGACTTTTTTCCCAAGAAATACAAGCAAACACGCCTGTAAACAGCATGCTGCAAAAGAGCCACTCGCGCGCGCACGTCGAAATCCTTCGAACGTCCATGCGCGCGTGCGACTGCAAAAACACCTTGCCAAACAATATGACGAAAAACACGCGCGCGCGTCGTCGCGCGCGCACCGGAATCCTTCAAACCCGTAAGGATTTCGAATTCGAGCGCCCCGGAAACATATGAAACAAACATGAATGTTTGCAGCGCCAGTTAAAGACAAAACCTGCGCTTGCGTTCGCGCATTCGTTTTTTGTTTGTTTGTTTTGTTTGTTTGTTTGCCGTTTTTTGGTTTAAAAGCAAACAAACTAAAGAACACCATGTTCATTACATTCTGCCAAGCGGGCCTCTCGCGCCACGTGTCGAAATCATTCGAGAGCCCTTGCGCGCGTGCTGGGGGGTGGACAATCCGTGCCAAATAATGCCGCGCTGGCCGTTCGCGCGCGTCGGCGGCGCGCGCATGTCAAAGTCCTTCCAAAAACTTCATCACCGACGCGAGGGCACCGTCATCGTCGTCGGCTTGATCGGCATCGGCGGCGTCACTGGCCTTCCCGTCGTCGTCATCATCGTTGCCGGCATCACTAATATCATCCTCGCGTCTACCGTTGTCGAGTTTGAAGTGGGTTGGGAGGCCCAACCAGCAGCTTCGCCTTAGGCGAAGCCAAGCTCCAGCTCTGTTGTACCGCAGTAACGATAGTCCGTAGTAGGAGGCGAGCCATCTCAAGCAATTTTGGCACCGATGGCAAACCGTACACCTCGCACTGAGGTGTAGTCAGATCTGGGCGGCCGGCCGCTTTGAGCCAAGCGGCCGCGGGCGCGCGCCCGTTCCCACTCACCTGCATTGCCCAGCTCACTTTAGAGTCGGGGGGAAGGGGGACGAAGCGTGAGTCCGCCGCCTCTATGCAGCAGGTACAGCAGCTACTATGTACAAAAAGGCAGCAAAAAAAGGCGGGGCCGTAAGTACGGTGGACCCGCGCGCAAGTTGCCTTGCCTGCTCTTTACTGTGCATACGAGTACTCCTCAGGCGGCTGCAGACCGAGATGTCTGGCCAGCCCGATGAGGAGCATGACGCATCAAGTCATGCTTGAAGGACTGCGTACCCCCATGACCTGTAGGAGCATTTCTCTGTTGATGATCCCCTCTGTGTGACCGTCCGCTGTCATATCGCGGGCGTCACACCATTGAATACCGTGCACCATTCCTCGCTCCATCATCTGTCGTATCCAGCTGAGGTGTCCTAAAAGGGTACACTCAGTCGGCGTCTTCCAGTCTTTGCTTGGTCAAGACTAAAAAAACATACCCAGCATCTATGGTCAAAGTGACCTTGATGCTCAGGCCACCCAACTCAAGTGCGTCTTTCAACAGAGTGGGAGTTAGCGGCCCTGAATGAGGCTCGCGCAGAGTCACGATCGTGGGATAGCAGTCCTCCAAGTTGTGGGCTGCTGCAAATGTCTCTGCTGAATAGCTCGAGCGGACCTACAAGCGGTGAGACTTGCAGGGCGCGTCGACCAAGTGAACGAGAGGCTTGCCAGATGGCGTGCTTCCACGTCGTAGCAGGTTTGCCCCGCGAGTGCCATATCCGTTGATTTCGTCATCGGCATCTCCACTCAGGCGTCGATAACCTGAGTCGCTGCGCAGGTCAACTTCGCCCGTGGGAGTCATCGCTTGGTAGACGGTCTTCTCAGAGCAAGCCTAGAATTTCCTGGTGATCGCGCTGAGTCGTCGCACTTGTATGTCGGTCGGTTGTTGGACGCGTTGTAGAGAGACAACATATACCATCAACCGCGCCTGGGTGATTATTGCATGCGCCAGTGCGCCTCTGAGGCTGACGAGCATGTCTGCAATAATCTTGGATGCTTGGGCGTCAGCGCCGGCACCTGTAAGTTCAGGATGTTGTATAGGACGGAGCTGCTTGATGTATTCGTGTTGGTCCAACGTAACACTACCGTCCTCATCCTTGGTATATATCACAGTACACTTGGTGTATGTGTGCTTGTTGAGTTTACACTTCCCAAAGGTGTCCTCCACGCACTTGACGCAGTTCTCCATGGAGTCCTCTGTGCCCGCCATAGCGATGTCATCAACATGTTTGGCTGTGAGCAGGTTGCAGCTCGTCTCGAACTCCTCCTCGTAGGGCGTGGGTCTGAGACCAAAGCCTCTTGTGGTCCTTCTGAGCTGTAGTGAGAAAGCTCGAGGTGCGCCCTTGGTGCCAGTACCTGGCTTGAGGCACTGCAAGCAGTGCTTCGACTCGTCGTAGTGCTCGAATCCTGGGAGAGTTCGAAGCACTGTAGCCGATCCAGGCGGCAGAGTAAAGCACGCCACACGGTTTTTGTTTCCCACCAGTTGCCTCAGCATGTCCCTGGTAGGCCAAATCTTCCAGGGAGGCCATGTTGATGTCGAGGGAAGCAGTGACCCATTGCTTCTTGCGCGCTGCCGTGCTTGCGAGCAACCCCATGGCTTGGCCGCTGTGCTGTTCCGGAGAAGGTTCCCACGTCGAAGGCTTCAAGGTCCACGATGCCTCGAAGCACCAGGCGTAACCTGATGGCACGTTCCATCTCGCCCTTCTCGTTCTTCGCAAACTCCATACCTCGAAGTCATGACGTTTGGCGCTTTAGATGTATCTCGCATGTTAAAACACTTGTTGCCGAACCGTGTCTTGGGGATTTCGGGGCTCGCCTGGGCGTCAGCCTTCGCGAAGAGGTCGTCTTCCTTGACGACCGCGGCTCGCTTGGCAGCGGCGGCAATGTATGCGCGCATGGTGGTAACACGGTCGGCATCACATATCCTGCGCTGTTGTTCGGACAAGACGACCTTTGACATTTCTGCCGCGAAGCAGGGTTCTACTTGCCCATGTTCGTTCGAGCCCAGCCCGTAACTGTAATCCGCCGACGCGCGACGCATGGCGGGCTGCGCCCAGTGTGAAACGCGGGCCGGCGCAACTGCGATGGGGGGGGCGCGCGCGGGGGGCCAGCCAGGGCGCGGCGGCGGGCCTTCAGCTGCCGGAGGCCCCCGTGTCAACGCCACGTGCGGGAGCGCTTGCCCCCCCCCGTCGCCGCTGTAGTCGCCGCCTCGTTTGCCCCCGGCCTGCCAGTCGTCGCCGCCCCAGGCTTGCGACCAGGACCAGGTGTCCCAGTCCCAGGGCTGCCGGGAGCTTGTCGCGTTACCTTTGGGCTGGAGGGCGCCTTTGCCCTGGTTCCCTGACCACTTGTCGCGCTCGCGGCCCCAGTCAACCTGGAGGTCGCGCCGGCGGTCCATTTCGTTGGCGTCGTACCCGCAGCGCTTCCAGGCGTGTCGGAAATCGCGGCAGGTGGCTTCGGGGTTCCGAGCGGGGTCGCTCTTCGGGCCGTCGAGCCCGGCTGGGTGCTTGCGGGGGCAGGCGTGCCAGACGCTGCTGAACACTCCTCCCGGGGCCTTCTGAAGACGCGAGATCTTGGCTGCAGGTGCCTCGCCGATCCTGTCGAGCTCGGCGTTGCCCATCAACTCCTCGCACATGCGGCTTCCGTCAACTGGGTCGACCAGGCCGTCGAAAACCCGTCATGCGGCCCTGTCGCGCTGCCACGGGGGAGTTGTCGCGCTTGGCTGGGGCTGCTGCTGGCGAGTTGCCGCTCCTCGGCGCGCCAGCTGGGGAGGCTTGCCTGCGCGGGAGGTCGTGTCCCGCCCTGGGCGGTGGACCGGCGCTGGCCTCGCCCGCTGCTCGGCCTTGCCCAGGCCGGCCTGAACCGCCCGCGTCCAGCCCAAACACCCCCGAGGGGTCGTCGGGAGGGCTTCCGCTGGTCGTCTCGCCTGCGGTCTCGAGCTAGGGTGGGAACGAGCTGCCCTCGGGGTCGGCAGAGTCGTCTGCTGTTCCGCCTGGTGGCAGCGAGGCTGTCGGTGGGGCATCGTCACCACCGTCCTCGTCGTAGTCGATCCCCTCGATGTCCGCCTTCACGGAGGGCGCCGGGCTCGTTGGGGAGCAGGCTGCTTCCTCCTCGGGGGAGGCCTCTGTCGCTTCGCGTTCTGACTTCTGGGGGCCGTGGTCCACCCGCAGTGTGGGAGATCCGGTCTCCTTGCCGGCGGCGCCGCTGGTTGGGGCGCCGGTGGCTGGGGTGGCCTCGCACGCCGCGGTAGCTGCTCCCTGTGGTTTTGGCTGTAGCCAGGCCATCGTGGTTTCCCCTGGGGGCGTCGTGCGGGTTTCGTCGATGCAGGCAGCCGAAGGGTCTTGTTCTGCCAGGGTGGTGATGGAGGCGGCTGCGAGGGCACCTGAGTCCAGGCTGGCGATGAAGCTGGCGAGGACCGGGAGGTAGTGCCGGAAGGGGCTCGGTCCCTTGCTGGACGCCAGGCTTAGGTGGTGGGCTGTCCAGGCATCCTTGTGCCTGGGGCTGCGCAGCAGGTGCCCTACCACCTTGGCCGCGGCCCACCTCTTGCCGTCCCAGGTGGCGCCCTCGGGGAGGCCATCTTCTGTGACCTCTGAACCGTGCATCTTGGCCAGGAAGGGAGACAGCTGGTGCGCGTGCCAGGAGGTCCCCAGGTCGTTCGGGGCTGGAATCTCAGCGCCGCACGCATTGACAAAGTCCATCCACTTCTCGTCCAGTGCGGGGGGGCAGTCCCGCAGGTAAGCAACCAAGGTGTGGTGAGTTTCCTTCAGCTTGTTGCGACCACCGTGCTTGGGCTCGTCTCCCTTGTCGAAGGCTAGCGCGGAGACTTTTTCTCTGCGGCTCAGCCTTGGGGCCTCTGGTGGAGGTAGGTTTGGGAGGAGGCCTGGAAGAGACACGCGAAGCGTCAAGGATTTTCAGCATGGCAGCTAATCTTGCAAACCCCCTTCTACGCATGCCCGCTCGAGGATGGTGCACTTCTCACGTGGCAGCTAATGCCTGGACCCCACTTCCACGCGAGGCCGCTCGAGGACGGTGCGCTTCCCGCGTGGCAGCTATTGCATGATCCCCCTTCCACTCGTGCCCCCTCGAAGATGGACCACTTCCCGCACGGCAGCTAACGGCTGAACCCTCTCTACCTGCGCGCCCGCTCGAGGGTTGCGCACTTCTCGCACGACTGCGACTCATCCCACGCGCACCCGCTCGCGGATCGTGCGCTTCGCGCATTCCCAGGCGCTGCTCCCAAGCGCTCCAGGGCCTCCGAAGCCACGATCCCCAAGTTAAAACTATGGGCATGAGGACTCCACCATGGCCCAAAACGCATTCAAGACGGCCCCAAGACGGCCCAACAAGGCATCCGTGGGACACAAGACGGCCTCAGAAGGCCCTTCGACGGCCCGAGACGGCGCCAATACGACCCTACGACGGCCCCCTGACTTCCACAATACGGCCAAGAGGGCCCCAAGACGGCCCCAGCAAGCCCCAAGCCGGCGTAAGAGGGCCCCAAGACGGCCCAAGACCCCAAGGGACCTCCAAGACTGTCTCACAGAAGGCCAAGAGAGCCCCAAGACGGCCCAAATGAGTTTCATCATCATCGTCATCTCCAGTACCACCACCATCATAATCATCATCATCATCATCATCATCATCATCATCATCATCATCATCATCATCATCATCATCATCGCCATCGTCATTATCATCAGCAGCATCAACATCAACCTCAACAAGCTGGTCATCATCACCATCGTCATCACCATAACCATCACTCTCACCACCACCATCATCATCATCATCAGCAGCAGCATCATCATTCTCAATAAGCTGATGATGATGATGATGATCATCATCATCATCATCATCGTCGTCATCATCATCGTCATCACCTTCATCATCACCCTCACCATCATCATCACCAACAACAACCCCATCATCATCACCACCACTTTCATCATCATCAGCATCATCATCAAATTCATCATCATCATCATCGTCATCATCAGCATCATCATCATCATAATCATCATCATCATCATTGTCAGCACCGTCATCGCCATCATCAGCATCATCATCATCATCACCATCCGCACCACAAGCATCAGCATCATCATTAACTGCAACATCATCAGTCGCAGCAGCATCACCATCATCAACATAATCAACTTCCTCAACATAATCGTCGTTACCGCCGTTATCATCATCATCATCATCATCACATTATCGTATCAACATCGTCATCGTCATCATCATCATCGTCTTCACCATCCGCACCACAAGCATCATCATCATCATCACCACCAACGTAATCATCATCATCAGCAGCAGCATCACCATCACCCGCATCATCATCAGTATCATCATCATCGTCATCATCATCAACATCATCATCCTCATCATCCTCATCATCCTCACCAGCATCATCCTCATCATCATAACCCTAACCGTTATCATCGGCCACCAAAATCATCAGAGGCGAGTTGTTACACGTGAGGGCCTCCCACGCCCCCTTGAACAGTCGCCACCCAGAATGCTGGGCTTGCACGGTGGCGGGACTTGCCGCAGGCAGCTGGATATTGCGCCAAGACGGCCCAAGAAGCCCCAAGATCGCCCAAGAGGCCCCCAAGAGAGCCCCCTGATGGCCCAAGTGGCCTCCAAGATGGCCCCTAGAGGGCCCCAAGACGGCCCAAGAGGCCTCCAACACGCCCAAGATGGCCTCCAAGACGCCCAAGATGGCCTCCAAGACGGCCCTGGAGCGCCCCAAGAGGGTCCCCCGTTGGCCCAGAAAGGCCCCCAAAACGGCTCCCGACGGCGTCAGACGTGCCAGGAACCCACCAAGATGGCCGAAGTTGGCTCGAAGCTGGCCCAAAAGGGCCCAAGAGGCCCCCAAGAGGGCCTCCAGGAAGGCCAAAAGATGCCAAAATCACTGATTTTCCCAAGGTTTTTGATGGATTTGGGCATTTCCCTTTTTTCGGCCTTCCGACGGCCCGAGACGGCCCAAGAGCCCCCAAAGATCGCCGAAAGATCGCCCAAGAGGCCTCCAAGACGGCGACGATGACCATCAAGACGCCCACGTGTTCCCCGAAGGCTTTCCAAACCGATTCGGGGAACACATGGTCCGATGGCTTGGCAGGTCTGGCCTCAACGTTCGGCCACATAGGCGCTTCCACAAAGGCAGGGGGCGGCGGTGATTCGCCGTAGGCGTCTTCGATATTGCGCCACGTAGATTGCAAACTGATTCAGGGTCCATGATGGCTGAGATTTGATGCTCATGCGAATCAGCGTTGATTCGTTTCCGTGATTCCTCTGCCCTCCTGCATCCTAAGCGCAAGGCGTAACACTTTCGGAGCTCCGCACTGAGGCCCCCTAGCGGCGACTCCGTCGACGCCTCTGGCGCGCTCCGCGCGCAAGGGGGGGTGACCTCAGCGCGGATCGAAGAAATCCGCGCGGAGCTCCAAAAAGTTCAGATGCTCATGCAATTTGTGATTCTTCGATCCTAGGCGCCGGCCCCCGCAGCTGGTGGTCCCAGCGGGGGTGCTGCCACCGTATGCAGTGGCCGAAAACCAGCTCCCAGGCGTCTGCGCTCAGCCCGGTTTCGCCACAGCGCTCCATCCACGCCTCGAGCGGCACTCCGTCGGAGCTGCTCCCGGCGATGGCCCGGAACGCGGCTTCGTAGCTGCCGAAACGCGACTGGGCCCAGAGCCGTAGACGCGAGCAGTGCGCGATCGCCTCTTGCGAGCGGCTGGAGGCATCGTCCAAGCTGCCCTCGTCCCCGCAGTGCACAAACCTCTGAGGCGCCCACGCCTCGCGGCCGTGCTTTTTTCACGACGTTGGCCCCCAGAGGTCTGGATCCCTTCTAAGACGAAGCCAGGACGAGGATACAATCGGGTGAAGGTAAATCGAGAATCTCTGAGATCTGGCGGTTCTGGTAGATCTCCCGGGCGCCGTGGCCTTCCGACAGCGTTCCAGAACGCTGTGGAACGGATATCCTCGTTCTCCCCCCGTCCCAAAGGTCTGGACCCCTGCCCCGGGACCTGTTTTCATCCAGATTCGTTTTTCCACGATCCCGGGGGCCAGCGGAAGTTGGCGACGCGCACAAGGCGGTAGGGGGAAGGGGGGAGGATTCTTGGAAGGAGGTTTCTTCTTCTTCTTCTTAGAAGGCGCTGGCCTTACATTCGCAATAGATAAGGCCCGCGCCTTCTAAGAGTCAGCCTCCTTCTGCGAAGCCTCCCCCTCCTCCCCCATATCACCCCTCGCGCGCGTGGCCGACATGGGCCCCCAGGGGCCGATCGGGTGGAAACGCGCGTGGCCGATAGAGGCCCCCGGGGGCCGAAACGCCTCGCCCCAGATGCCTGGGCCTGCCCCTCGCCGAAGGCCGCCCGCGCCAGCCGCGCCAGCGACCCGGCCGCCACCCCGCCGGGGGCGGCGTGCTCGCGGAGGAAGGCGAAGGTCGGCGGCGCCAGCTCCGCGGGGAAGCCGGCGGGCGCCAGGAGCTCGCGCAGGTCCGCGGGCCCGCGCAGGGCGCGCCCCTCGGGCTCGCCCGGTCCTGGGCAGGGCGAATGCCCGGGGCCCCCTCCTCCTCCTCCTCCTCCTCCTCCTCCTCCTCCTCCTCCTCCTCCTCGTCCTCCTCCTCGTCCTCCTGAACCTCCTCCTGAACCTCCTCCTGAACCTCCTCCTAAACCTCCTCCTAAACCTCCTCCTCCTCCTCCTCCTCCTCCTCCTTCTCCTCCTCGATCACTCATGCCATACGCCAGAGCGCGTGAGCAGGGGAGGGGTGAGCTGCATCGAAGAGCGGAAGGGGGAGGAAGGGGGATGTGGAAGCAGAGGCATCCCGCACGCACGAGGCACACAAGGAGAACGAGGAGAACGCCCTTCGATATCCAGGCGCATCGAATCGAAATCGAATCAACTCGAATTCGAATCGGAATCGAATCAATTTTTAATTGCGCCAGATCCGACCGGAATCGAATCGGAATCGGGCGTGCCCGCCTCGGGTCGAATCGATCGAATCGGAATAGACACTGGTGGGCGAAAGAAGCCTGGGCCAGCCTATTCTCGCCGTGTTGCGGGAGCGGCAGCACAACGGCGGTCGCACAATCCGCATCGTGCGCGGCAGGAGGCGGCCCAGACCCCCGCGCTCGTTATTTCCTGCCTCTGGGGGCGCTTGCCGAGCCTCGGGGCCGTGCCAAAACGACTCAGCAGATAAAGAGCCGGTCCGGTCCCCCCGAGCTCTCCCAGATGGCGTTCTGACTATACAGTAAGGGGCTCGACCATAAGGAACCTCCCACAAGAAACCCAACCCTGAGACCACAGCCGTCCATTGATTTTTGGTGAGGGAGCGTCACGCCTTCCATAGTCAAACCATTGACAGCCCAGAAACCCGGGGCACCCTGGAGGCACGCAGGGTGTCTCTTGGCATGGGCCTCCTCTGTAGAGTTCCGAGGCGCATCCGGCCGTGGCGACGAGGACCTGCCAGGAGGCACAGCAAGAGAGGCGGAAGCAAGGCAGAGGTCGCGGCATCGGTACCGTTTCCTCCTCTGAGGTCCGAGCGCCGCGGGGCCGAGCGCCACCAACGCGCCGGCGAACGGCTCGAGCCAGCTCAGGACGTGGGAGTGCTCGAGCGCGAAGCGGATGCCGCCTCCACTGAGGTGGCCGCGTGCCCCCCCTGGCTGCGCGGCGTCTGCCGAGCGGAAGAGCCGCAGTGCGTCCGTGCGGGCGATGCCCTCGCGCGTGCACATCTGCTCGAACTGGCCCAGGTCCACGCCGCTGCCGGGGCCCAGAACCCGGAGGCCAGCCTCCACCGACTGGTACCGCTGCACGAGCCGCTTCCCAAACTCCAGCAGCGACGCCGTCGGCGCCGCGAAGCGCAGGGCCGTCAGCAGAGAGGTCAAATCGAGCCCCTCCGTCGACCCCATATTTCTCAGCACCTCCGTGACCCGGGCCGCGTCCGGACGAGTGAAGGACAACACCTTCTCGATCCTCTCGGGCAGGTCTGCCCAAGGCACCACCAGCTCGCCCCCTGCCTCGGCATCGGTGGCGCCTCGGCCGCCTGCGCCGAGCTTCGACAGCGCCACGCGCGCGGTCCGGAACCGGCTCAGCAGCCGCACCCGGAACTCGTGGGTCCGCTGCACGGCGATCTCGAGCTCCGCCGCGTCTCCCCCGAAAAGCCCCACGCGACGGGCGTGGCCCGCTTCCTGCGTCTCGCCAGGCGGCGCAGCTGGCGCGTCCGCGGGGGGCGGGGCCGCGCCCGACGCCAGTGGGTTGCCAGACCCACCGAGCGCCGGAGCCGCCCGAAGCTGCTGCCCGCCCTCCGGCGAGGGGACGCGCCCGTCCGGCGACGGAGGCCGCGCCTCCTGCGAGGCCCAGCGCAGCGAGCCGGCCCGGCGCGGCGCGGCGCGGCCTTCCTGCAGGTCCTTGATGGGCCCGTTCTCCACCGTCACCATGAGTTGGAGGAGGGGGCGGTCCTCCTCCTCCTCCTCCTCCTCCTCCTATTCCTCCAACTCCAACTCCTCCTCATCCTCCTCCTCCTCCTCCTCCTCCTCCTCCTCCTCCTCCTCTTCGCGTCCTCCTCCTGATCGTCGCCCTCATCCTCCTCCTTTCCCACCTCCAACTTGTGGTGGTGCTGGTGGACAACAGGCCCATCAGTCCTGGCCTGGCGCAGGGCCGCCCGCAGCGGCCGCCTCGTGTCGGCTATGGTTAGGCGCAATGAGCGGCCCTGGGTGGGCCACGAGCGCGGCCTCTGGGGCGCGGCGTGCCGATCGCGGCGGGCGGTGCCGCAGGAGCGGCCTGCGCGCTCGAGGAGGAGGAGGAGGAGGAGGAGGAGGAGGAGGAGGTTTATGAGGAGGAGGAGGAGGAGGAGAAGGAAGAGGAGGAGGAGCAGGAGGTGTAAGGGAGGTTTAGGAGGAGGAGGAGGAGGAGGAGGATAAAAAGAAGTA